CTGCGGCCCTGGAGCCGGGCGGCCTCGGGGCGGCGCGGGCACCCGGGTCTCGGCTCTTCACGCCGGAGCGGTTTGGAGCGGCTCGAGCAGGCTTTGCTGCGCCCTGGCCATCCCGCCGTCTCTGGGAGTGAGATACTGACGGGGGGTATTTCTGGGGTGTAAGAGGGCTGAGTAGTCACAAGCAAGCTGCAGTTACCGGCGAAACGAGAAGCTTCTATGAGAGCTGACAGGAAACCCCCAGGACGGCTGTCCACCATGTCCACAGAAAGACTTCTGTATAGACAGGACAAATAAAGAACCTAAATGAAGACCAACTAACTAACTAAATGTAGAAACATCTTCCTTTTTGTTTGTTTGAGGTTTTTTTTGCTTTAGTTTTTTTTTTAAGCTGATAAACATTATGTTTTGGTAGATGGGGTTATTCTTATTTTATGTTTTCCAAATTCATGGCAACTTTTAATGCTGTTAATGAAGCAGTTGTAGACAAAACTGGTAAAGTTGATGTTACAGCATTTAAAAATGCTATAATAAACCTTGTATAGCAACATCCACATTTAATAGAGGGAAGAAGATACAAAAAATTGATTAAAACTGAGAAAAGGGAACACAGAAACTCGAAAGACTTGCATAGAGAGTTTATTCCTAAAATACAGAAATTATAAAGTGATGTGAATATATCATTACAAACTTCTCATCAGTGGTCTGGATGAGGGGATCAAGTGCACCCTCAGTCAGTTTGTAGATGACACCAAGTTGGGAGGGAGTGTTGATCTGTCTGAGGGTAGGAAGGCTCTGCAGAGGGACCTGGATAGGCCGAATCCATGGGCTGAGGCCAACTGTGTGAGCTTCAACAAGGCCAAGTGCCGGGTCCTGCACTTGGGCCAGAACAACCCCGTGCAATTCTATACAGGCCTGGGGAAGAGTGGCTGGAAAGCTGCCTGGTGGAAAAGGACCTGGGGGTGCTGGCTGACAGCCAACAACATCCTGGCTTGTGTCAGAAAGTGTGGCCAGCAGAGAATAGGGAAGTGATCGTGCCCCTGTACTTGGCACTGGTGAGACTGCACCTCAAATACTGTGTTCAGTTTTGGGCCACTCACTACAGGAAAGACATTGAGGCACTGGAGCCTGTCCAGAGAAAGGCAACAAAGCTGTTGAGGGTCTGGAGCACAAGTCCTATGAGGAGCAGCTGAGGGAACTGGGGCTGTTTAGCCTGGAGAAAAGGAGGCTGAGGGGAGACCTTATTGCTCTCTACAATACCTGAAAGGAGGCTGTAGTGAGGTGGGTGTGGGTCTCTTCTTGCAAGTAACAAGTGATAGGACAAGAGGAAATGCCCTCAAGTTGCACCAGAGGAGGTTTAGATTGGATATTAAGAAAAATTTCTCACTAAAAGAGTTATCAAGCATTGGAACCTGGTGCCCAGGGAAGTGGATGAGTCACCGTCCCTGGAGGTATTTAAAAGGCATGTGGATGTGGCACTTAGCACATGGTTTAGTGGTGGACTTGGGTTAACGGTTGGTCTTTTCCAACCTAAACAAGTCTATAAGTATAGTATAAAAGTATTAGTGATTTACTGGAAGTTCCAAGCCTGTGATCTGGATGCTTCCCTTTGCTTTGTGTTGGGGTGGCCATTGCCTTCCTGAGGCCACAAGTGATCTTTTGGTCCTGAGGCAGGCCCCAGCCTTTCCTTTGTCCTTGTCTGCACTGGCACACCAAAAGCCCAGCACTTCTCTTCCTGTTCCAGATGTGACTGCCTGACAGCTGCCTCCCCAGCATTCCCTGTCTTTGTCTGTTTCTGTTCTGTGCCCTGCCTCATGACCCTCACCACACATCTCCAAATGCAATTAAGTTTATTTTCTTTGTAATTGCTGCTGCTGGACTTGGTGTTTCTCACCAGCGTAGCCAAGTCATTGGTAATGCAGCTGCCCGACTGCTGACTTGCATACCTGTCTGAGCAGGAAATTTTAAACACTTTTTGTCATCCTCATTCTTCCACCTCCTACCAAAAAACTTGTGTGTAGTCTCACATGTTATGCAAAAAGCATCAATTAAAATGTATGGTAACCTGCTTCTGCTCGTTCAGACACAGGTTTGACCTTTATGGTGATACAGCATTTCCCAGTGCTGGGCTTTGTTCGCACTGATACTCTGTGCATGGATGCTTTGGTCCTGGGCTGTGGTTTCTCTGTCTAAACAGTGTGGTAGTCTAAGACCTCAACTTCCTACTGCAGAAATTACATCTTTCTGTAGGTGATGGTTTTTCTTCTTAGCAACAGTAATTGCAAGAAGCAATAGAGATGAAGTGAGCTGAGAACCTGTGCTGCTCTGATGGCATTTGCCTCTGCAAGGCGGTTGATGAAGATGAACTGTAGAAAGTGAGCTCATGTATTAAGCACTGTGTCATCGTTCAGTTGTTCTGTCACCTGATGACTCCTCCCCACCCAGGGAGGGAAATCAGGAAAAGGAAAGAACTGTGGGTTGAAATACAAACAGATCTAATAAAATAATAAAAATCCAGTATTAATAACAATATGAATTACGCAGAGTTATACTCAGCTGAAACAGTGGTTGCAAGCTGGGATGGTCATAACAAGTGGAGTACGCCTCAGAAGTAGAATGATGGTGAGACCCTGCTGTCATCACAGCCACCGAGGAAAGCCTGCTGCTCCCAGCAGACTCAGCAATGTATAGCAGGTGGAACGTTTATGGTATGGAACAAGTTTGTTGGCCAGCTTGGAGTCAGCTTGTGTCAGCTGCCCTGGTTTTTGCTCCCCTCAGCTTCTGCACCTGACAGACTTGGAACTGCTAAAGCCCTTGGTCACTGCATAACAGTGCTGGCCTGGAAAATAAAGGGTCTTATCAACTTTGTTCCTATGAAATCGAGTATTGTAGTCTTTGCAGAAATGCAGTTTTCCTGAATAGAAAATTAATTCTGTGATGCAATCCCAGCGAAACCAGGACACACCGATGTAATGTTTATTAGTTAAACCACAGGTGCCATTACCACAGCTCATTTCTAAAGGGACCTCTGGTTTTGAAATTACAATCATAAGTTTTAGTGGTAGGTCTGAATTTGTTTAAGGGAATTCAGTAATGGTGGTGGGCATCTACCAATTTTCCTTCGTTCCTAGTATGGGTCTTGGGTATGAGATGTGATGTATACTTGAACATATGGTCCATTTTTTCTAAAATATTTTGAATAGCAATGACTTCAGGATGGAAGACTTAAAAAATTCCTGGCTGTGAATTTCTGAGACATTCGTACATTTTAAAAATTGTAAAATAAAAAAGAGACATGCTTACTAACCATTTCCACTTGAATCTGCCCCAAGACAGAATCCCTCAAGAGAATACATAGCCCTAAGATTGTAGCTGCTGCTCTTCTGCGTTGGGGAGATCTGAAGAGTGTAGCTGCAATTTATGTGCCTCTGGTAGCAAGGCCATCATGCCAAGGCAATGGGCAGCTGTGTGGGGCTCTGGGCCCAGGAGGTTTGGTCAGCTGGAAGGGTGATTCCAGAGGAGACAAGACTGCATTTGCTTTTTCTTCTCTGATGTAATTTGCAAAGTTTTCCCTTTGCGGGCTGGATCTGATCAACATCTCTCAGAATCTCAGAATTGAGGATGCAACATGAACTGCAGAACTCTTGATTTACCTTGGGGAGCTTAGGTTGGCAGGAGGAACACTGTCCTGCTCGTGGGAAGCTCGGGTTTGGTTGATAAGTTGATCTGTGGTTATCTTGACAGCTGAAATTTGATAATTTGATTACTGCAAAGTGCATTTTATTAGATCTTTATAAAGAAGATTGGCAGAAGATGCTGTACGTTTATCAAGGTAGCTTTCTGACGTGCGTTGCTGAACTGATGGACCTACGTTAAGTTATGCTTTATTTGCTTTGCCTGAAAACTATAAAATATTGAGGTGGAATTGTAAAAGCAGTCAGAGAATGCCATCATTTTTATTGCACAGTTTCAGTGCTTCTAGCCGGAAATGTACAGCGTGTGACAATTCAGCCTGGTAACAGCTTTGTAAGTAGATCGATAGAATAGATTACTTCAGTTGTTACAGAAGTTGAAAGTACTATAGAGAGATAGTGGGATCATGGTTTGTAAACCTTAAACCACACTTTCCTGCACAACAATCTGCAAAGATACTCTTTTTTGTGAAGCAGGTATGTGATTTTCAGCTGCGAGGAACTTCCTCTTTCTTCGCAAGGACTAAATAAATGTTTCTGAGAACTTGCATCCCGCTGTTGCCCTGCAGTTTGCGCTTGAGTGATCAAGTGTTTTGTTAAGTGAAGGGGTTGTCATGAGCCATTTTGTGACTCTCCGTGTTTTCGATGTCAGACTTCAGCCAACAGAAATGGAGACCCTGGATCTGTTGAGGAACTGTTTGGTGTGCAAATGGGACCTGCGGAAGAGAGACCCCAGAATGCTTCCTTGCCTTCATAGTCTTCCGGATTTGATTCAAGGATATAGCTGTATTCCCACTGAGTATGAAGTTCTGTATGAAGGTAATATTTAAGACTCTCTGGCCTGTGCTCTTTGTGTTACAGTATTGTAAAAGTAGATGGATTGAGAAGTGTTTTTTGTAGCCCATTCCTTTACGGCATGACTTTAAAAGAGTAAAATAGGAGACTCAAGATTTGTATGAGCAGAGGGTGGATTGGGAACAAGCTTCCTTCATTCTGTTTTTCATCCAATAGCAATGTTTGAAGAGAAATGACAGAGTCGGGCAACATTCAGCATTTTCCAGAAGGGGCAAAGTTTCCCTTACCAGCTGTGACATGATGAATATTTGATTTGCTTAGGCTAATAAATAAATAAATGCTACAAGGTAGTTTCTAGGCTACATCTTTATCCCAATCTTTTGGACATGTTGGACCTTTCTATGGTACCGGTTGTGGTGCTAGTTTTTTATTCTCCCTTCTCTCCTGCTTCCATGTCCTGCTCCACCCTGGCCCCCAGCACCCACACACAAACATCCGGTTCTTTGTTCCTAACAGAAGTCATAATAATTGTTATTAGAATATGTGTGCTGGGGTGTGCTGAAGTGCTTGTCTCATTGCAAATGTGGTTTCTGTCTACCTGAACCCTTCTCACTGTAGGGTTTACTGTAACTCAACAAGCTGAGTAGACCAGTGAGGACAAGAAGCATTTTGTGACTGTGGCTTTTCAAATCCTGACGTTATTTGTATAGTTTTTGATGGTGATGTTAATAGAAAATGCATAACTTTTTTTGGAATAAGACAGTACTTAGACCACAGAATACAGTAATTTTGACTGAATGAGTCTTAGTTGTCATGGGGAATCATTGCAGACTCATTACTGATTTATAAGAGCAAAGGCATGTACATTACTTCTGTTTTCACATGCTTTGAACTTTAGATGAATAAGAGGCATCATTTATTATCTCTTCCATAGCAGATTTTCAAAACATGTAGGAAGAGAAGATACCCTCCCTGAGGTGATGGTAATCTGAATTGTTGACATAACATGAACTAAACATGTTCAGGTTTGAGAACTAATGGAAACTCTTAGGAGATCACTGTTGAAAGGCTAGAAAACACAAAAGGTAAAGGAAAAGGGAATAACTTAATGGCAAAGGAGAAAGGCTGCTCGTGTAGGCTACAGACAGAAAAAGATATAAAGGGAGAAGAAGACAAAGAGCAAAGCAATCATTTCAAGTAAATGTCTCCTTAAAAGTTCTAATGCCTGATTGTAGTGGGCTTAAATTCTGAGGGCCCTACTTACAATAAAATGCTGTTGGAAACATCCACACCATTACTTTTTATGTATCCTCATTTGACACCTAAGCCATTCCTCTTCTCCTTGTTTCTGTTTGCCAAGTGGAAAAGTGAATTTTTACCACTCGGTGATCTTGGATGAAGTGCAGCTAGAGGTTTTTAAAATATCAGATATTTCTTCAAACTCTTGAGTGGATCAGGAATTATTTGTCTATAGCAAATGGAAACAAATACTGGTTCATTTCTGTATTCTTGAAGTTTCTTTTTTTACTTTCTCTTTCTTTTGTAGATAGGAGACTTCTGTGGGAAAGAGCAAGACTAGAGAAATGAAATAATGAACAGTGATGACCCAGTAGATTAAGTGGGACACCAGATGCAGAGACTCAGTTAATACATGAGCAAGGAGAGCAGCAAAACCAAAACATCTGTGTCTCTTATTTAAGTCAATGACTGAAACTGCAACCACCATTCCTCAGCCAGGATAAATTTGAGAAATCTTCTGATGGCATGATGATAAATACTTCTTGTCTTATCTGCACTGATTGCTGAGTTACGGGCAGTACAATGCCAAGTCAATTTTCAGTGTTATCTCTAAGTATGATAGCCATGGCCCGAGGAGGGCCATGAAGATAGTCAGAGGGCTGGAGTACCTCTCCTGTGAACATAGGCTGAGAGAGTTGGGATTGTTCAGTCTGGAGAAGGAGAAGGCTCCAGTAAGAACTTATAGCAGCTTTCCAGTACCTGAAAAGGGCCTACAGGAAAGCTGGGAAGGGACTTTTTACCAGGGCAAGTAGTGATAGGATGATGGGAAATGGCTTTAAACTGGAAGAGGGTAGATTTAGACTAGGTATTAGGATGAAATTTGTTACTGTGAGGGTGGTGAGACACTGGCCCAGGTTGCCCAGGGAAGCTGTGGATGCCCCCTCCCTGGATGAGCTTTAAGGTCGCTTTGAACCCAGACTATTCTGTGATTCTGTGGTCATATATGAGTGCAAAAGATAAACTGTAAATACAAATTCTAAAGCATTTTAGCAGAGTAAACATGAAATACTGCCTGTAAGAAAAATGTGTTCCTTACTTACTATGAATTCTTTAAGCGAAGTAGAAGGATGGAAAAAGTGAATATATTTCCAAGTGAAGTCAATGTGACATTTGCTTCAAAAGCATACTTGAATTTGTGGATTTTGGTATGCTGTACTATAAACAGTACTATATTAATATAAAGCTCTTTCCCAGTTTATTCCTATTGTATTAAGATCACTGAGAAGATAAGTGGTCCTGATATTTGATGGGTTTTGATGTTGGAGACTTACTTCTTTTATACCTCTGTGTGTTTAAAATAACTCGTGAATGAAAAAAAAACCTCTGAGAAAGCTCTGAGATAGTCAGAGCTCTTTTGGAAAATCTGCATACACATAAGAATTTATTCAAAGCTGTGAGAACTGAGAGTTAGGAAGTAATTTGAGTGAACAAAGAAAATTATCCTTGCAAGTTTGGCTCCTACATAAGTTTCTCATATGAAGGGGACTTCAAGATTCTCAGTCTTTCCTTTCTTTTTCTGCAGGCTGGTGTAACATTCCTCTTTTTATTCTCTGTCTTCATGCAACAGAGAATCCATATTCTTCTTTGCTGCAGATCTACATGTTTGTGTGCTTCCAGTCTGTTTAGTGCACAGGAAGGAACTGAGAAAGAGAGGAACTGAGTAAGAAAAAGAGAGAGAAAATTTCCCCATCTCCCGAGATGGAAATTTGTCAGATGAGGACTTTCCCAGGCTCCTACCTGTGTGAATTGCCACTCACAGTACACTGTGAAAACATACAAAATTAGTTCTTGCATGCTGCCTTGGCTTCTTGGGTCTGGCGCTTTCACAGAATCACAGAATCTCAGGAGTTGGAAGGGACCTCGAAAGCTCATCCAGTGCAACCCTTGCCAGAGCAGGATCACCTAAACTACGTCACACAGGAACACGGCCAGGTTGGCTTTGGATGTGTCCAGAGAAGGAGACTCCACAGCCTCTCTGGGCAGCCTGGTCCAGTGCTCTATAACCCTCACAGTAGTAAAGTTTTTCCTCATGTTCACATGGAACCTCCTATGTTCCAGCTTAAACCCATTGCCCCTTGTCCTGGCATTGGACATCACAGAGCAGAGCCTGGCTCCTTCCTCCTGACACTCGCCCTTTACAAATTTATAACCATGAATGAGGTCACCCCTCAGTCTCCTCTGCTCCAAGCTAAAGAGACCCAGCTCCCTCAGCCGCTCCTCATAAGGGAGATGCTCCACTCCCTCCATCATCTTTGTGGCCCTGCTGGACTCTTTCAAGCAGTTCCTGTCCTTCTTGACCTGAGGGCCCAGAATTGAACACAATATTGCAGATGTGGTCTGAGCAGGGCAGAGCAGAGGGGGAGGAGAACCTCTCTGCCCTACAACCACCCCTTCTCATCCACCCCAGGATGGCATTGGCCTTCTTGGCTCAAGGGCACATTGCTGGCTCATGGCCATCCTGCTGTCCACCAACACCCCCAGGTCCTTTCCAGCCACTCATCCCCAAGCCTGTAGCGCTGCATGGGGTTGTTGCGACTGAAGTGCAGGACCTGGCACTTGGCCTTGTTAAAGCTTTCTCACGGATTTCTGGATAGATTTAAAACTATATTCATCAGGTTTCTGTGCTTATCCCTCCTTTTTGAATTTGAGGTGGGTACCAAAATAAATTACCCTTTACCTGCAAATATTCCTCTCCATAAGATGTTCACTGATTTAAATTGTTTTAATGCTTTAGATATTACCAACATATTAATTGCAAAAGTATCTAAATGAGGAGGAGCGGAGGTGCATTGCTATGGGAAGTTCATGTTTTTGCAAGACCATCTCAGCTCAAGGTTTTGTTTTTGGTTTTGGTTTTTGTAAAAAATTTCTGCTAGCTGATGTCAAGCCCTGGTATTATTTACATTTTCTGACTCAATTGGGTAGTTTGTCTAACCTGTAAGTTACATTTTCTGTTTGTCAAGTGCGATTAGTAGTTGCCTAGCTTTGTAAGTTGCTTTGGGAAGTGGTAGATTTCATTGTATCACGGTTTTGTATTGAACTTGTGTGTTGTGCTATTTTTTTCTGAAATTCTGTTTTAAAAATGCTTTGCCCTTTTGTGCTTTTCTAAGCTGGATAACAAAAATCATGGAAAACATCAGCATGGTTTCTATCCACATTCTGTGCATAAGTCAAGAACTATCTGTAGTTGCATTTTGTTAGCTTCCCACATGCAAGTGAGGGTCTGAGGTCCCCACTTAAATGCCAAGAAATGTAACAGGGCTATGTTTTAGAGAAATGTAAACTGGTCAGATAAAACTAAGAGAAAACAGACTATTAAAGAGAACAAATGCAAGTTCAACTGTTGACAGATGTCCAGTTGCTGCATTTGATTTTCCAGCTGAAAAGACACAGTTTTCTTTAGCTTGTAAGGCAGGTGCTAAATATAACCATGGATCTCCAATTGCAAATGCTTAACGAGGTACATCCAAAACTCAGCCAGGTGTTGGTCATACTTGCATTTAATGTGTTCAGAGATATCTTTACAGGGGTTTATTTCCAGAAAAAGATTGAGCTCTAGGAATCCTTTGGCTTTAGGCTTATTTTCAGTTTTGGCATAAGAAGTATGATGTACTGGCTTGAGGAGACTCCAGGTATCAACAGACAGTGCCTTATCTTGTACTAAGTCTGTGTGTAAAAAACATACCAACCAGCCAAACAATAAACCAAAACAATAAAAAAACCCA